CTTGGTGGTATGCTGACATTACCCTGGATACCGTGGCTCTTGATACATCACAAAGACTTGCTGTCTTGGTCACAGATGCGCCAACAAGATGCGCACCAACAATTTGTCCTCTTTTGAGCTCTGGTATGTCACCCATAATGTTGTGTGCATTTCAATATTTTGAGCAAAACTGTGCTCTTACCCTGCTAATTGAACCTTCACACTCTGCTCTTACTGGTGCAATGTGCAATCAATGAAGACTGGCTACCAGGCTGGTCCAATTTAGCCATGAAACCTCCCACACTACAATGACAGGTGTTTCAGTTTCATTGTCCAACCCCTGTATATACACATATATATATAAGCCAAAATTCTAAGTGCTACTTTTCCAAACAGGACGCGAAAAAAGAGAGCCTTTATGAGAGGTGTGGCCTTTTTAGAAGATTGGCAAGAAGAAAGCGCTTGTTAAAAGTAAGCCATAATAAGAGCCATTTGCAGTTTGTCTGAAGTTCTGTAGGGACCACAGCAAACATGTGGAAAACAGTGCTCAGGTCAGAAAACAGAGACTGAACTCACTCTGAGCAGATATTTCCCAGGTGGTGGAAGTGTCATGCTTTGAGGATGCTAGTCTGAGTTGATATAATATATAATATAATATATATTAAAATATAATAATATAAATATAGGGCAATACTGGAGGTAGACCTCCTAGCAGCTGCAAAGGACTTATAGTAGGACAATGGCTCTCAACATACAAGAGCCCCCCAGATTTGCTAGAGCTACAGTGAGCTATAATAGAATACTTTAGATCTGATGAAGAGTTCCGCAGACTAACACATTTTTAATATTGGGATACAGATTTTTTTCAGAATTGTATTTTTATTTTACATTTAAAATTTAATCATGTAGGATATTTTCTAGTTTGGAGAAATAAAACCAAGTGCTTTATATGAACTGTAAAACTGCATACAACTAAATGAAAGCCATAGAAATTATACGCCAAAAATGTAATGGAAGTGCCAAAGCTCTCAGCGAAATAAAGTAAGTTAAAAATAAACCTTTTTCCCTGGATTACAAAAGCACACAGGAAAGTCCAGGAACTTCAGTTTTGTAACTCTGTAACCTAAGGTTATTAGTTCTGTTGTGATATTTCTTTGTTCCAATTTGGTTTGCCAGAATTTATCATACGTCTCCTACAAATAGATTATTTCAGAAAAACTACTTCAAAATGAGCTGTACACATCTACTTTATTTGCACTTTCATGCCTTATATTTCTTCTTAGGACAACCAGCCACTACTGGTACTAGCATATCATTTCATTTGCATTCCAGCATTAGGTAATGGAGTGTTTAAAAAGTTGTTACAATTTCATGTATTTCTGAGATCATGTTGTCCTTCACTTGTCAGAACATGCATTCCAGTTATTAGGAAATAATAATCTAAAGAGAGAGAGAGAGAGAGAGAGAGAGAGAGAGAGAGAAATGCTAAAAAAAGACCTTGAAAAGCATCAACAAGGATAAAAGGTATCCATTGATGTCTGTCCACCAGAGAAAAATCTAATCACTATGCAGAAGAGTTCCCAAAGAATGTTAAATGAAAAGTTTTTTTGGTGATGTAATGGTAAATGTACCAAATTGTCATTATACAGACATCAGAAATGCTATCAGATGAAGAATACTTTTGTCTCAGGTTATCACTACTATAATTGAGAAGAGGAAACACAAATGTGTTTTAATTACCTTTTAAAAAGTACTACAAAAATGAAAATCTCACCACACTAAAGCAATGCAGGTATTGATGACAAATAGGGGCTTAAATACTGCCCTAGAGAAAGATATAGGAAAATTATCCCATGTTTCAGCTTTGCAATGGCTGATAAATGCTAAAAAATATGCCAACAGGCATTCAAAAAGTTAAATGAGACCCTAAACAATTGCTTTAAAGCAATTAACAAGCATCACCTGGTGTTCATAGAAAATGATCACGATAACAATTTATTTAGTATTTTCACATTACAAGATGTTACTGATTTTTCATTTCAGATTATATATATACTTCACAACACAGGTCATCTCAAGGCACTTTACAAAAAACAAAAATCCATTTAATCGAATCATAGAGACAGATATTTCAATTAATCCAACTGACCCAGCAAAGTCAGTGAATTGCAGCATTCACTCCTACTGGATGAGCATGTAGTGACAGTGGACAGTAACTTTGTGTAGCATTCGTCGACTTTGCAGCAGTCCCCCATACTAAGCATGCATGTAGCGACAGCAAAAAGGAAAACTTGTTTAACAGTAAGAAACTTCCTTCAGAACCAGGCTTAGTGTGAGCAGCCATCTGCCACAACTGACTGGGAGTTTGAGGGGACACACCAGAGATACCCAAACAAAGGAAAAACTCAGAAGCACTGATCCAGGCATACTTTCTATGTTAAAGAAAAGTAAAAAGTTAATTGCAGTAGTAACTCTTTTTGCGGCTTCATCTAGGAGAGAATCACAGTTCAGCAGATACGTCCTGAGACAGTTTTTATGCCTAAAGTATGAACGAGAGCACATAGAATTAGTTGAAGTAAAAGCTCAGCCAATGGCTATGTCTGGGAGAACGACAGGCTAAACACTGAAAGACATGGCAAAGTGTATCAGCTGTAGGAGAACACAAAGTTGCTGGCAGCAGCAGCCCAGCCAAGGTAAGTCAGTCAGTCATTTTCTATACCGCTTCTTCCATAATGGGTTGCGGCGAAACTGGTGCCTATCTCCAGCAGTCTATGGGCAGGAGGCAGGGTACACCCTGTACAGGCCTGCAGCAAGGTACGCCTGCAACTAAACAGAGCACCAGGCCAGTAACTTCAATGGAATCAAAAATCAGAGAGAGAGCATCTTAAAAGATGAAATAATAGTAAATAATGCAAAATAGGAGAGTGGTTGGAGAATTAAACAGAGTGGGGAAAGTTGTCATTATGTTCTCCAGTAGCCTACACCTATCACAACATAACTACAGAGATAGCTCAGGATAACCTAAGCCACTCTAACTATAAACTTTTTGAAAAAAAGAAAGTTTTAAGCTTAGTCCTTAATGTAGACAGGGTGTCTGCCTCACAGACTAAAACTGGGAGTTGGATCCACAGGAGAAGACCCTGATAACTAAAGGATCTGCTTCCCACTCTACTTTTAGAAACTAGGAACCACCAGTAAACCTGCAGTATGGTTTGAAAAAGCTGTTTCTTTTTCAAAGATGACAACCTCTGTCTTGTCTAAATTTAAAGGATGCCTTTGAATTGAAATGCCTTTTACACCTCATGTGATTAAGTTCAAATGAGTTGAAGCACTTTTCAATTTAAAATTCCTTCTTTTGTATATTTTTTGTAACAAGACACACACCCAACTTTAGTTAAATTG